TTTGGGGGAGCTTGGGGGGATTTTTGGGGGGGCTGGGTCCTTTGGACTGGGACCTGCATCCCGTTTTTGGGGGTCTGGGGGCCCCTTTTGAGGGTTCAGGACCCCAAATCGGGACCCCAGACCCCAAATTGAGAACCCCAGACCCCAAATCGGGACCCCAGACCCCAAATTGAGAACCCCAGACCCCAAATCGGGACCCCAGACCCCAAATTGAGAACCCTAGACCCCAAATCGGGACCCCAGACCCCAAATTGAGAACCCCAGACCCCAAATCGGGACCCCAGACCCCAAAATTGTGATCCCAGACTCCAAAACCGAGACCCCAGACCCCAAATCGAGACCCCAGACCCCAAACCGCGACCCCAGACCCCAAATCTCCCCTCCCGGCCCCGTTTGGAGTCCCGGGACCCCAATTCGAGCGTCGGGAACCCCAAATCAGGACCCCAGACCGCAAACCAGGACCCCAGACCCCAAATCGGGACCCCAGACCCAAAATCTCGGCTCCCAGCCCCGTTTGGAGCCCCAGGACCCCGATTCGAGCGTCGGGAACCCCAAATCGGGACTCAGGGACCCCAAAATCGGGACCCCAGACCCCAAACCAGGACCCCAGACCCCAAATCGGGACCCCAGCCCCCAAATCTCCCCTCCCGGCCCCGTTTGGAGTCCCGGGACCCCGGTTCGAGCATCGGGAACCCCAAATTGGAACCCCAGACCCCGAACTGGGACCCCAGACCCCAAACCGGGACCCCAGCCCCCAAACCGGGACCCCGATTCGAGCGTCGGGAACCCCAAATTGGGACTCGGGAACCCCAAATCGGGACCCCAGCCCCCAAACCGGGACCCCAGACCCCAAAATCGGGACCCCAGACCCCAAACCGGGACCCCAGACCCCAAATCAGGACCCCAGACCCCAAATCAGACCCCAGCCCCCAAACTGGGACCCCGATTCGAGCGTCGGGAACCCCAAAATCGGGACCCCAGCCCCCAAACCGGGACCCCAGACCCCAAATCGGGACCCCAGGCCCCAAATCTCCCCTCCCGGCCCCGTTTGGAGTCCCGGGACCCCGGTTCGAGCATCGGGAACCCCAAATTGGAACCCCAGCCCCCAAACTGGGACCCCAGACCCCAAACCGGGACCCCAGACCCCAAACCGGGACCCCAGCCCCCAGACCGGGACCCCAGCCCCCAAACCGGACCCCAATTCGAGCGTCGGGAACCCCAAACCGGGACCCCAGCCCCCAAACCTGGACCCCAGCCCCCAAATCAGACCCCAGCCCCCAAACCGGGACCCCAGCCCCCAAACCGGACCCCAGCCCCCAAATCGGACCCCGATTCTAGCGTCGGGAGCCGCAGTTCGGGACTCAGGGACCCCAAATCAGGACCCGAGCCCCCAAACCGGGACCCCAGACCCTAAACTGGGACCCCAGCCCCCAAACTGGGACCCCAGCCCCCAAATCAGGACCCCAGCCCCCAAACCGGACCCCAGCCCCCAAACCAGACCCCGATTCGAGCGTCGGGAGCCGCAGCTCGGGGCTCCCGGGGCCGTGCCGGGGGTCTCAGCCCCGTCCCCCCGGTGCCCCCCAGCTCCAGCGGCCTGAGCCGGGAGCCGGGCGCGGGGGGCACCCCCGGGGGCACCCTGGGCTCGCGGGGCGTGAAGAGGAAACTCTACTCGGCCGTGCCCGGCCGCACCTTCCTGGCCGTGAGACCCTACCAGGCGCAGGGCGAGGGCGAGCTCAGCCTCAGCAAGGGCGAGCGCATCAAAAAAAAATCCGGGGGGCACAGAAAAAAAAAATAGCCCCGAAATAGCCCCAGAATAGCCCCCAAAAAAACCCCAGAATAGCCCCAAAAAAACCCCAGAATAGCCCCAAAAA